GGCATAAATTCTTTGACAGCCAGCGAAAGTGGTCACCATAAAACTTGTTAAAAGCTGATGACTCTAGTTCGCATGTGTACTCTTAAGACAAAATTTTATTCGCAATGAAGTACATGATACAATCTAGTTTATACTCATTTATATAATAAAGGTTAAATAAATATTTTCCTATATGGTAAAGGCGATTACGGTGGTGAATAGATCGCGATTTATCAAGGCAAAAAGTTAACGTAATTACAACTGTCGCAATTGATGATACCCGTATAACCCGTATAACAATTAAATATTTAGCATTCCAACGAACTCCATTCCATGTGTATACGGCATAAGGTCTGCTTTCGATGGGCCTTTTTAATAACCAATAAATTTACGACGCGCATTTCATAAGTTACGCGTCTTATCCATTACTCCATTAATTTCCTCGCGTGTACAGCTTTGAACGATATCTTCAATTCCTTTTAGACGACCTTTTAATTTGAAACATTGCTTTAAAATGTTTCTACCATACGCCCCAGCCGGTTTAATAGATTTACATAATATATTATTATATATTCTTTCGGTAATGCAGTGATGGGCAAATTATGAGGTCATTTAAATGACCAATGGGTCCTGGAAATTTATAATAAAAATGAGGTCATTTGAGGTCATTTCAAGGTCATTTGCTGACACTGCGGTAATGTGCAAATCGAATGTATAATTTTTACATCATATAATATTGCACTTGGGAAAAAATTTTTTGACAAAAATTTCGTCCTTTTTTTCCAGCACTAATTGAATGGTGAAAGAAAAAATAATTTTACGTTCGATCTAACGAATTCTTTTTAATAAATGCTGAAAATTTTGAATTTGTTACTAACGAATTTATCACCAAAAGACAGTTTCCAGAAAAGTACCAAAATATTATTATTTATTCCCTGCTTTTTAATTTTTTTTTTTCAATTATTTAGTAGTAAAAAAGTAACCACATAAAAGATACATAACTCAAAGCGCAAGATTACGTGTTTCTTAATTGATCCTTATTTCTTTCAATATTGAATTATTTGAATCTCAATCTAATTTCGTTTATTCATTTCATTCTATTCAAAGATGCTCCTGATTCGATTATCGGTCAGAGTATTTAAGGTTAGCCACCTTCTTTTTACTGCATTTGCTGCATCGGTGGAAGACGACATGAATTGAATTGTACTGTATATAGGGATGTGGCAATTCTGTTGAAACATAAAGTTCGCTGAATACTCGCGTCTACACGATTTCTAATTCCCTTTTTTTTTTCGTTTTCTCTTTATGCACGTGTAATGTTATCAATGAATTCGAGTGATTAAACATACATTATCGATTCATACTGATTAAAACCTGCAAAGTCTCTGGTACCCTTGAATGAAGGTACTATCAGTAACATGTTACCAGTAGACTACCCGATATAGGCAACGCGTAAAATAGCTTTACGAAAATAATTCGCGTTGAACGAACCTTCACAGTTTTCAATGAAATTTCGTTTTTTACGTTATAATTGATTATAACGTCGAATGATAACTTGTTGCACAAAATCACATAAGGACGTGTAACGATGGGAAATAAAATCCGTTACACGTTTTTCTTATATCCGAGGCGGTAACCGGGATCGTTGACTCCGATGCCTGGTTCCGATGCTGATTCCGATGCTATTTTTGTTTCCATCCCGGAAATTCCTCCTGCGGCAACAAATAGTTTGATTTTAATTTGCGAAAGTATCCCACAGGAAAGCAAACTCATAAATCATCATGTTTAAAAGATCAGAATCTAACGAGATGAAATCAATGCAACAACTATATTAGCTTTTTTATATTTCTACCTCGCTAGATACTTTCTTACAACATTATCTTTGATTTCATTCCTTATGAATGATGAATGAATAAACTTCAAGATGGATACGGGTTTTTATCTCCGCAATTAATTATTACACCTCAAAGTAATTCTTCGTCGACCAGGAATTAAATAGATGCCTGAATATCATTTACTTTTAACGGAACATGTATTATTTTTTATTTATTCATACGGGTTAGGTGTGAATAAGTATATTGAAGATGAATTACTCCGCCTAGTTCCAATTAACGCTTTTTGCTATAAAAATAAATAAATAAAACAAACAAGTGAAGTCGGAAAACTAATAACCCCATAAAAATAATCTAATTATGATGCGCACAAAACATTGAGCAGCATCTTCGATATTTATTAATTTTTTAAAGAGCTTACATATATTTTCATATTAATAAAAGAAACACAACCTCGAAAGCATTTCGATTCTTGATGGCAATACTATAAATAAATATGAATGTGAGAAATATAAAAAAGGAAATTTAGAAAACTAATTTCCAGCTATAAAAACAATAAGGAGGTTCAATAGTCTTAAAAAGAGTAAAAATACAAAAAAGACAAAAAAAAAAAAAAAATTATTAAATAAAAGGTCGTCGTGCCACAAAATTTCATCTATTATTAAGCAAATGAAATAAATATAAATGAATCGTATAAAAATGTATGTGCATATAAAAGTAAAGATACAGCATAAACCATGATCACATCACATTATCTTAATCGTTAAACTTAAACTTCATCTTCCTCGGCTAAAATATTGAATTAATTTAATTTTTTATATCATTGCATTCAGAAAAATCAATATAAATAAGATATTGATTGTACTTACATGTATTTACCATGTCTTCTAAATAATTTGGAATCACGAGTTCAAGTTGTTTGGTTTCTGTCAAACATTAAAGTAAACCGTATTAGAACCAATTTTTTATAATTTTTTTAAACCAAATTTTTTTTTTTTTCATTGATAGATAGATACCTGCAATACTAATACTAACGCTAACGGGGTCAGGAAGACTTCCAAAATTCAAAAGTTTACTTGTATAATAAGCCTCAGGATGCTTGACATAGTTACCTCCTGAAACTATGCCTGGATTATAATTTGGGTCATATTCAGCGCATGATTTGACTTGCTTACAAATTATTGAATCCTCGTCATTATAATCCACATCCGTATAATATTGATCTAAAGTAGATTTCAATTGTTCAGCGGAAATTCGTTTGGTGGGATCTGCGTCCAAGCATTGATCAATCAATGTTGCGACCAGCTTGGGAATTTTACGTCCAATTGTAGGACGTAAGCCTTCGCATATACTTATTGCAAGATTTTCGTTATGCGGAAAGTCATAAAAAGGTGGAAACCCTGTAATTACTTCTATCATGATAATTCCAAAGGAATAAACATCAGACGCCTGAGTATAATTCTTTCCCTTTAACACTTCAGGTGCCACATATGGGAGCACTCCATAAACCTTGTTTCCTTGGGATAAATCCTGTAATAATGGTTTACACATACCAAAATCAGTTATGGATGAACCCGTATCACTCATAACTATATTACCAGAATGAAAATCTTTATGAACTAATCCAGCTTTATGTATTTCAGAAAGACCATCTGAAATATATAACAAATTCTTTAAAATTTCATCCCAACTTAATCCTTTCAAATTTTGATCCAGCATTTTCCTAAGACTCCCTTTCCTCGCGTATTCCATGACTATCATATAATCTTGAAGTTTAGGATCTTTAGTAATACCGAAAATCGAAACCGTATTGTCATTTTTCCTGAACTTTAATTGGTTTTCAATCTGAAAAATTATAAATGACATCAATATAAATAAATCGTACGAATCTTGAAAAATAATTTTATGAATCACGTTACCTCTTGAAAAAATTCTCGCGTCACGTACGCGGAATTATCAATGCTTTTTAAACATACCAAGTTTAAGTCGCTACTTGGCCAACTTTTCCTCTCCCATTTTTGATTACGACGGTCCCACCATTTAATATAACCGTCAGCCCAAACAGCCTTGAATACTCTTCCAAAACCTCCTTTGGTAAGGTACTCCACATTTTTAAATTTTTCGAAAGGAATCCACTCGATAAGTTCCTCCATAACATTTGCTTTAAGTTGGGTGTCTTGAATAAATTCGTCAATGATTTTATTATCACTGCTCCAATTAACAAATTCACTTTTAAACCTTTTGGCATTACATTGATTACACCATTTATATCCAGTATTTGGACGCTGGCAATCATCACACATTCCATAATCAATAACAGATCCTACCTGAGTATCATTCATCTTTACAACAAAATAAAATTCACATTAAAACTTAACAACGCCAAGAAAGTTGCGAGTCAATAAAAATTTTAAATTATAAGGTCCTTACCTTAAAATATATGAAAGTTTATGGTTACTAAAGGATATTTGGAACAGAAACTTTACCAATAAAATATTATAAATTATGAAATGTGAAAGCCCAATGTAAACGACATAAAAATAACTTTAGCAATTTATGTGTGACCTTGTCACGGTAACAATGACTGTCAAGGGCAAATGATACGATCTTCATACTGTTAAAAATTGAACTGATTGAACTGAGAGAAAAAAAAAATCAATCATCTATTTTTTCCGCAACATGGATTACCCTTGTTTTTTTTAAATCGCTGTGCAACCGACGCGTAGTACAGATTAACCAATTCATAGATTCTTACGCAATTTTTGTAAAATAAGATTTCGGCTAAACAATTTCGGAAATAATGGTTACAATATAAAAGAATTGACATTATCCGGATATGCTTACATACCAACCGATTCTGTCATGAAAAAGAGTCATTACATTTCAAGTGGTTAGTTCACTACATATTCAACTTCTTTGAATTTGATATATGATGTTCATAAAATAGGTGAGTTTTTCGTCTTATTCTACTTTAAAATATTAGATAACCCGTGTACGATTTTTTTGGAGCAACGTATGTAATAATAAATTGTACCCTTCGTATCACTTAAAATCAGGGCACACAGGCAGAACCGAATAAACTGATGCAAGATTTTTATTTTTATGCGTCTGCCTGTTTTCATTGTTTCAGCTCTATTGTAATGACTGAAACATCCAAGACCAACAGCTTTGTTCTAACCATTCGATCGGACGGTGAAACGGGAGTTGATAGAGCTGCTTTGGAAGCCGTCTTAGATTACAATGAAAATGCTACAAAAAACATACCTAACATCGACAATAATGCGAAAAAATCCTCGTCTTCTCTCTTTAAAGTTACCGGTTGGTGTGAAAAGGGACGACTTGCTGACGGTGAAGAAATTCCATCAAAATACCCACTTATTGAAACACCAACCAAAGGTAAATTTCAAAAAAATGAATGGAACGTCCGGGATTCGGATGGCACTTTGTATTTGTATTCGTCTGGTGCCTCAAAACCTGATACAGGAATGGAAGTAACCATCGAGAAGGTGAAAGAGATGAATAAACCATTTCAACGTATTTATCTTGATAAAGATATAATGACCAACGCCAGTAAACTTCTTGGCTGGATGAATGACGAAAAAATTAAGGTGCTGAATGTATCTGGTCCGAGTGGAAGTAAAGGTTCTGAGATTTATGCAAAGGCGTATAACTTCGTGACGTCCTTCTTAAAGATGTATGAGAAAAATTTGGAGAATAATGAAGCTGGGTTGTTAAGTTAAAAAAAATACGACATTATGCATATATAGCTACAGCTTGTAATTCACTAATATTTTTAATAAAGAAGTTGATGATGAAATTTTTATGATTATTAATTATATCAGATGATCTTATAATCAATTTCAATGTGAATGAGCACCTTTTTAAAAAATTCAAAAAAAGGTTAGATTCCATATTAATTTTTCGTATTGAACAATGAAGTCAGGTAGTAGTATCTACAGAAGTCTCTATTCCTTGAACACTGAAGGTAACAGAATAGCTAGGAAGTTGTAACGTCAGCAAAAAAAACTTACCTAACATCAACAATAATTCTCCTGTTCATGTTGGTCCGAAAGGAAGACGATGCCACTCTAAACATCCACCTAATTATATTTTGAAAGAACTGATGGAACATCCGTGGAATGTAGATGCCACTTTGGTTTGTTTTCATCTACCACACCACCTGATTTTGGAACGGTCTCTATCATCAAAAATAACAATATGCAAGATCCATCGAAAATTATCTTCCTTGATGACCAACATCAGTCAGACTTTTCACTGGATAAGAAACCACTTCAATACTTTGGATTTGACTGTTCCAAGTGGAAGTAAATATCTAGAATTTATGCTAAAGCGTATGACTTCGTTGACTTCCTTGTTAGAGAAGTATGAGAAATATTGGAGAATAATAATGTATCTGGGTTTTTGTTAAGATATATATAAAAAACGCGTTATGCATATATAGCTACAGCTTGTACTTCACTTATATTTTTAATAAAGAAGTCAATGGTGAAATTTTATTAATTAATTTCAATGTGAATTAACTCTTTTTAATTTTCTTTACAAACCAAAAGATAACTATATTTTTCATATTTAAAAAAAATGTAGTTTTGTACGTACCTACAGAAGTCTCGAATCTTGAACATTCGCTCACTGAGGTGACCAGGAAATCTATGATCTTTAACCGTAATATCAGAAATAAATTTTTTTTTTTTTTTTTTTTGGTGAAATAAATAAAAACAGATTATATTCTCACATTGTTTATCTTTTTTTTTTTAATCTTGATCTTTTATTCATCCCATTTAGATATCCGCGGATGAAAAAAATATTGATCCAAGGATCCAATAAAAAAAGTCCATCGATTTCTTTGTAAACAAACCCATTATTTTTTCAGAAATTTACCCGAGACGATCCAGATTTAGATTTTAAAGTTGAAAATTTTACAAGTTGAAACCCATTTTCTTTAATATGGAAGAGTTTTAGGAGAATAATCTTGTTAAATAGATCAGAATAATTTATTCTATGCTTTAATTAATTTCCTTTCTAATTTAGGTAATACTCCAAAATATCGTCGTTGAAAATATCACATTGACGAAAGACCAATTGAAGTTAATCGAATAGCAATTCCAGAATAAATATCCAAGTAAATGAATTTGATAATGTTGAATCCTTATTGATTTCCAGAAGCAAAGTAATTTTTTTTATAATTTATAATATATTATTATGTCTTCTCCAGTCGCGGAAGATATGATAATTGAAATATTCTGAGCAATAGACTCTAAAATTTTTCTCGAAAGTTTTAAGTTGTTTTAAGTAACTTTTAATTATAACACTTATATTGTATTTTATATATATTTATCTTTGCTAGAGATACCTCGTGTTAAGATCAACAAAAATCAAGAAAACGTAAGTTGGAAAGATCTTTAAAATTCATCATAAATTTATAAATTAACTAACTTGATTTGATTTGATTAACCTGTAGCGTCAGTCCAATCGATAGACACATACTTTAATGAAAAAAATTTGATAGTAATTAGGTACCTTTTAATTATACTTTCTATGTTTTGTTTTGGATTTATTGATTTATTTTTCAAAAAATTAGGATATTTATGATAAAATACTTTTGATGATTTACTTTTTAAAGAGTCATACTATCTGATGCAATAATGCCAGGTGAATATGAAATATTATGTTCATTTTTATAAAAATCTGTTGTTTGTATTAACAATTCTTTTTTTGATTTATATAGAATGCTGAATCTTATTTCCAAAAATAGTTATTTTATATTTGTGGTCCAACAATCATATTGCTAAAATATGCGTATTTTTTAAAAAGGGATTTTCTATGAATTATAGTTCTATAATATGATTTATTAAGACGCACGAAGCAAAAACAAGAGCATTTGAAAATCAATGATATATTCAAGAAAATTATTCAGTATACCATGCGATCCATTTTCTTTATAATTTTTATTAGAATGGCGTGATAGATACCTTGATAACTATTAATTGGTGATTATCTAATAAGTAGGTTTTTTTAAAATCTATCTGATATACAAAAATTCAATTACTAGTCACAATATTTGGATTCAGAACTTGGCAGACATGAAGATTATATTTTGTTCGGTGAAAGAATTATTTTATTATTTATTATTTAGTAATATTATTAATTTATAATCTATAAATATAATTTATTGATCAGTTAACGACGAATTCCTCCTGCAAACATCAAAAACCTAAGAAGGATCGAGCCACGTTTGTTGATTATCGGTCATATAAATCATAACAAATGATTGATAATTCGCTTGTTTGAATACTTGTCTGTTTGTCCAATTGGGATATTGGAAAGAATGATTCAAATCTCAAATAAAATAGATTGTTTCATTGACAAGATTTATGTATGTTTGTTAAAAGCATCGATATTGAAGGCGGAGTTACATGGTCTAACCCGTTCTTCCAACCGTGAATAATTTATACCAAAATCGAACTTCAAATGGATTCTGATGTTCTTTATTTGATTAAAGATGCACATCAACAACTTCTCAAAAGAAAAGTAGATAATATGGACTGTGCAATTACTGAAGAAGACAGATAATGAGAATTCACTGTAATATCATTATGGGCTGGATTTTAATTATAAAAAAAAGGAAAAACTTTCAATAAATATATTCAGGTATAATTTTATTGATTTATAAGTATGGATAAGCATGTGTCGTCATTAATTAATAAATTATATAAATTTATAGGGAGTTCCGATTTTGAAAATGGAATTATAATTATTTATTATTCATCATTTGCATCTTACAAGTAATGGCAGGTATATTTAATATCAGTTTTTGTTATCAATCCGATGACTTTTGAAGTGAAATAATGGTCCTTTTACCTTAAAAATTTAAGATAGATTTACGATTGAATCGCGCAATAGAATTAGATATCTCATTTATTTACCGAGAAATACTCGTAAACTTTTGAATTTACAGCTTGCCATGGATTCAACTATAAGGGATAAAATGATTGGATTCATTTTTGAGAGGATGTTCGTTTACCTAAAAAAAAAAAATAATAATAAATAAATATATTAAGGTAATTTTTTTTCACTATAAAAGATTTTCAAAGATTTTTTTTTTTGTAAACCATTTTTAACATAATTTTAACATACTTTATTATCTTCCATAATTACATAAATCTATTCTTTTGCGAAATTTCAAATGAGATTCTCCAGTATTAGGATGAGAATATTATTATGAAAGGGAGAAAAGTTGGTAGATATTTCTAAGGTTCATCGCAATAGTCATAATTGTATAGTTACCTTGTTATATTTCCAGCCCAATTAGTAAGGATTCATTCGATTGAGATTTTATTATTTTTTCAGCGTTTGCTATGAATTTTTTTTTTAAAAAAAAAAAACCTGTTTATCAAATAACTAAATATGGAAAAAAAATCATATAATTGATGATTGTCGTGCATAATTCAAAAATTTAATGAATGTTATATATAATTTTTTTTTTTTTTGCTTAATTGAATTCCTTTAAAACTATAAAAGTATAATTACTTTTTAAATAGATCATTTAAAATAATAATGTATGTTATTAGTTTATAATTAAAAAAAAATAATTTTAGTTTTATTAGTCTGAAATATTATAAAGGTTATAAAAAGTATTTTTAAATATAATTTTATTATATAATTTATATTAATAATTGAATTAAATATTAAAGTTTATATCTTCAGTTTTTTACTTTTTATTAACTAATATTTTTTTTATTAAATAATAAAGCTATTATATAAAAAATTATTTTATTTAATTATACTTAAATAATTCACTTATATTTTATTTTTTAAAAAAAAATAAGAAATTATTACTATTTCAGTTTATCATATTTACAGCTAATTTCATAATTCATTGATTATTAATATCATTAATAATTATTCAGTCACATTCAGTCACAATATTTTATAGTAATTTTATTATAAAATATTCGCAATTTATTAGTGATCCACGAATTATAAAATTAGCTGTAAAAATAATTTTAAAATTACTAATAAATAAACAGTTAATTATATGTTATTTAATATATATATTTTTTATATAATTAATATTTTATATAATATTATAATATTATACCTTTAATAGTTTTGCTTTAAATTCAAAAGGAATTTTACTTACTAATTAAAATTAGTTATTATACAAATAAATATTTTTATAATAAAATTTAAAAAAAAATTCTATATTAATTAGCTTTTTATATTAATTTAAGATCAAAGTTTTGAATATTTTTTAATAAAAGTATTTTCTTTATAAAAACTAAAATTTATAATTTTTATTTATTATATTATTAAAAAAAACTTTATAAAATATAAATTTATATTTAATATTTATTTATATATTTAAATATTAAAAAATCATAAATTTAAAGTTAAAATTTTGTATATGTTTAATATTTTAATTAGTAAAAATGAAATTATATAAATTTATAATAATAAATTTTATAATATATTTTAACTAAAATTAAAAAAATTGGAAGATTCTATATAAAATTTTGTATAATAATTATGACTAAATTTGAAAAAAATAATTAACATTTAAAAGATAATAATTTTTTTAAAAAAATAAATAATATTAGAAATTTCTAAACTTTGTTTTCTTTATTTTTATAGCTAAAAATTTTAGCTACAAAATCTTTTCTAAAAAAAATTAAAATTAGATCTTTCTTTGTTTTAATTTTTTTAGTTTTTTTTTATTAAA